GTGCTAATGTGTTAGATAAATTTTGCTATATTTGTTATGATATTATGAAAGTATTAAATTATTCCACATTTTTGTCCTAGATGTTGTTTGAGTGTAAATAACTGTTCACACTGAATGGTGAACTGTATTTGGCAAAAACAAATGAAGTGTGGTACAGTGCACAATTTTTGTACTATCCCATCATGCACTGTGGAATGGGGGAGTGGGGCTTATATCATTTAACGCTCAGAGCTGGCAGGGCTATATTTCTATGGCCAAGTCCCCAAATCGCTAAACCTTATAAATCACTACCTTAAAGTAGTTTATTAAGATAAATTCTTTCCAGGGTGGCATTTTCTCAAAGACCTAGTGCCCTTTCTTTTCTGAAGTCATGGTTTCCAGTGATCTTACATTCACAGGACATTACACTGCCTGAATTCTATGCTCCTAGGATTTTAGGTTTCCCATATTGCCTCAATCCTGTGCTCCCAGGGCACCATGTTCCTAGTGCCCTATCTGGCCAGGTGTTGTTTTTACAGGAGCCTATGCTTAACATTTATGGAAGAAGTCTTGGTGGTAGGCACTTTGTAATGGTAACATTCACTAAGATTTCCACCATGGGAGAGTCTTCATTACAGAGGACTTTGCACTTTTTCGTTTCTCAGTAACATGGCATCTATTTTTTTTTTGGTCATATTAACTTCACAGACTTTCAGTACCTGCTTTATCCTGGTCAGGATCGCAGTGGATCTGGAGCCAATCCCAGTAACACTAAGTGCAAGAATTCACCCCAGATGTGACACCAGTCTGTCACCAGGCACCATTCACATTTTACCTGTATGTTTTTGGACAGTGGGAGGAAACCGGAGAACCCGGAGGAAACCCACAGAAGGAGACCATGCGAAACTCCGCATAGAGGGTAACCCGAGCTCAGGATTGAACTCTAGAGCTGTGAGGCGGCAACACTACCCACTACACCACTGTGCCTCCCCTGTCTTAATGTTGTATTTGATTACCTTTGGAAGTGGGTGGTCGGAAATTCGAACTGCATCACTTTCGACTTCTGTGCATTCTAGCTACAAAGTGGGGAAAGAAAACATGGATGCCTCCATGTTCATCTTTTGTTAGCAACAATATAGCCAGCTAACTGTGATCAGTTACTTCTAGAAACAATGAACCATACAGTCGTTGTTATAGATTCAACAATTTAATATGTCTGTATGTTGATTATAGGGGGCATGGTGGCTTAGTGGCTAGCACTGTTGCCTTGCACCTCAGGGTTTGGGGGTTTGAATCCTGCCTCTTACTTGGAGAACAGAAATACCAAGCTACGAGCTTTAGTCAAATGCAGCAACTTCAAAGAGAAACAAACAAAAAGAGGGTGAGGAGGGACAACTGTTTATAGCTGCTTTAACATAAATGATAACAAGAACTAACTTTGTCTTGCAGATGCTCCATAACACTGTGTTGATGTTCGTGGATCGCCAGCAGTCGGTCTGTGGTTACAATTAACTAGCTAATGTAATGCCCCATAGTGCTCATATAGTTAGCTAGATTATGTGGTAAGCAGGTTCATAAACATAAACAAATCAACATAAACATGCAGAGATGACACTGAAGGGTATCTTGAACAGGTTCCTCTTCAGTTAAAACGTTTATTGATCCCTGAACATTTGACAGTTTGCATATATTTCTTAGTTAAAGGAAGTCTTTTAACAAAACTCTTGCTTGACAGAAATCACACACACACTTGCTCTCAGTCTTCGTTCGTCATCCACCTTAAGAATATGCAAATATGCAAATCATATGCAAATCATCGAGCCGTCACACATTCTTCCTCCTTCCCTGCGTGAGTGTCTCGCGTTCCCTCAGCCGTGGAATTTTTTAGCTCGTGCCCGCTGCACGAAAAAAAAAAGAAGAAGACGAAGAAGAAGAAACACGAAGAGAGGGAGAGGGAGGTGGAGAAAAGAGGGAAGAAAAGGGGGTGGGGAGGAGGAGGAGGAAGGCGCACGCACGCGCGCATCAGAGTGTGTGTGTGTGTGTGAGTGTGTGTGTGTTCGTGTGTGTATATGTGTGTATGTACAGTCAGTCCGGGTTTCCTGCTGGAGAAGAGAAAAGGAAAGAGAAAAGAAAAGGGGGGAAAAAACAGAAAGATATGCATGATTTCGCAAAGCGGTCATGATGGGGAGCTCGGGCGTGCACGCGCCGCATGCGTGTGTCCGCGCGTGCGTGCGGTAGGAGGAGAGAAAGACGCGGGGAAAGAAAAGAGAGAAGGAAGGAGGGATTCGGCATCGCAGCGCGAGCCTAGGTAAAGGAGAAGAGGAGAGAAAATGGATGGATACTCCTCCTCCTCCTCCTCTCCTTCTGCTCTTTGTGTGCGTGCGTGCGTGCGTGTGTATGTGCGCGCGCGCCTGGCTGCCAATGTGTATGTCCTGTGTTTCCACTTTAGCTCGCAGAAGAATGTCTGCCTGTGTGTGTGTGTGCGTGCGTGCGTGTGTGTTCTATTCGCCATGCTTGTGCGACTCCTGCTAGCTTCTGCTCTGTGGAGAAAAGATGGCAAAAGGGGGCATGCGATTCGTGCTGCACGCGCGCACACACACACGCGCATGTGCGCTGCATTATTGTGTGAGATCCAGAGGTGGCCTGCGTACAGCGGCAGCGCGCGACCAGTTAAGCTTCACTGCAGAGCTGCAGAATGCATACAAAAGAACACACGCGCGCGCGTGTCACAGACAGACCTCTGTCTATGTGTGTGTCTGCATATAGACTGAGCTATGGTTTTATTCTTGTCTCTGTGTGTGTGTATGTGTGGACAGAGCTATGTTTCTTATGCTTGTCTGTGTGTGTGTGTGTGTGTGTGTGTGTGTGCGCGCGCTTGCATGTTACATACAGGCCTGACACCTCTGCGTGTGTGTGTGTGTGTGTGCATAGACTGATCTATATTATTTATACTTGTGTATATGTGCATGCATGTGTGTGTGTGTGTGTATAGACCAAGCTATGTTTCTTATGCTTTTCTACATATCTGTGTGTAGTATAAGCTGTATTATATTTGTTTAAGTGTTTGTGTGTTTGTGTTATAGACAGCCCTGTACCTGTGTGAATGTGTGTTTGTGTTTGGTTGTGTATATGTATATGAGCTGTTTACCATGTTTGTCCATGTGTCAGTGTGTGAGTGTGTGTTTGTGTATATTACACACAGATGTGTGCATGTTTTCGTGTAATTGTCAAAACCAGAAATATGAAAATAAGCCAAGAGGAATCATATAAAAATGTGATACACATGCTGCAGTGAGTAATATTTGACCTTAAACATATTGGGACATAACGTTTTATCTGGATGTATGTCCACTTCTGCAGCCAAGTCTTCCTGGCAGAAGTTTTGTGCTAAAATATCTTGGTACTTAACAGAATTCTCGATGTCATCAATCTTCACAAGAGGCCCGAACCACCAGCCACAAAACAGCTCTAAAGCCTCACTGATCCGCCACCATATTTTCAGTGGGTTTGGGGGCTTTCTTTCTAAAGACCGCTTTTTTTTTTTTTTACTAAAATGTGGATAGTGTTTACGGCCTAAAAGGTTTTGGTGTCATCTGACCACAACACATGATTCCAACTGTAGCTCACATTTTGTAAGTTGCTCTCATGGCCTCTTTTGTGTAAAGCTTGTTACAGAGGTGGCGTTATTTGCATTGAATAGTTAAATATTCTTTAGAGATGTCAATCATCTTGCCATTCTTACTGTTATTTTACTCAAGAGTTCTTGTGAACAATAGAGGAAAAATTGAGGTGAAATTTTGTCTCATTGTCCATATTGAATAAACACTTGACAGTTGCCAATAATTTTGGTGTTGACTGCATGTGTGTCTGTGTGCACGATTAAATGTAAGTGTGTATGCATGTATATAAATGTGTGAGTTTTCAGATGAACATATTTGAGATCCTTAAACACACCTTTTACACTGCTGGTTTGTATGTGTGTGTGTGTGTGTGTGTGTGTGCTGTCAGTGCTGGGGTGTTGAGAGTTTAATGAGAGTTGAGAGTTTAATTTAATTATCAAGCGGGCTGTGTTCTATATATAGCCTCATACTCTATAAATAAAGTGTGTGTGTTTATGAATGAAACTCAAGGCCTGAATATATTTCTCTCTCTCTTTTTCTATCTTCTTTCCTTCACTGAATGTGTGGTATCAAACACAGGTCTTGTCTTATTACTGTTTTCAAAACCAACTCTAACGACTCTATTACCTATGACGCAGAAGCGTGAATTGCACTTTTGCGCAAACCTCAAACAGTTCCTATTCTGAGGTGGGACGCAGGAAATTGTGCTAGATTGCTAGCTTAAAGGCACTTTAGAAATAAGTAGTGAAAAAATAACTACGTTTGTACAGCATTGCTGTTGAATGCTTAATTCTGATTGGTCAGAAGGTGTTGATTAATTTTCTATAACAGCAGCTCAGAGAGTAGTTCCTGTCGCAAGGCAAATCAAAGGTTTATATTAATGTGCTTATTTGAATACATTGCCGTTTCTATAGTAACAGCTTACACAGTCAGTTGTATGGTGAACACTCCAAATAACCAGATTTAAACAGGGAAGGTATTCAAGATGGAGTTGCTTTTTTTTTGTCTTATTGCCTATAAGAGAGAGAAGAATAGAGGCCAGTGCACTATAGAACCACTGTTTATAGCTGCTATAACGTAAGTCATAACAGGAACTTTCATGGATGTTCCATGACATTGAATTTAACCATAAATGGATAAATTGTCATTCTTTAATAAATAAAAAAAATGTAAGTTATTGTGATATAAAAGGAATAAAACAGTTTAAGCATATATGGTACACAAGGTGGTTGTTCTTTCAGCTGCTCCCGTTAGGGGTCTCCACAGCAGATCACCTTCCATTATCTATGAATTGATTGTTCACAGCAGATGCCCTTCCTGATGCAACCCTCCCCATTTATCCAGGCTTGGGACCAGCACTGAGAGTGCACTAGCTTGTGCACCCCCACTGGCTGGGGTTGGCATCTGGTGTGGGGCTCAAACCCAGGCACTGGAGATCAAGATTCCCATGCTCTACCAAATGAGCTAGCCAGGCACCATATATGGTACATGAGGTGGCATCCTCTAAATGTTTCCCAAAGGAACAACAGAACAAAAAAGAAGAAGCCAGAGTTATGTAATATAGAAATTCACACCAGTGGCCCTGATTATGTGACCATTTCTGTGGTGATAGAGAAAAGTTGACTGTCCAGTATACTGTATGTGTACTGGATAGGAGGAGGTGAAGTAGGCCAGAGATACACTACATGGCCAAAAGTTTGTGGACACCTGACCATCACACCCATATGTGGGCCTTCTTGAAACTGTTGCCACAAAGTTTGTAGCACATAACTGTCACATACTGTCTTTGTATGCTGTAGCATTTCAATTTCCCTTCAATGGATCTAAGGGGCCCAAAACTGTTCCAGCATGACAGTGCCCCTGTGCACAAAGTGCGCTCCATGAAGACCAAGGTTTATCAAGGTTGGTGTGGAAGAGCTTGAGTCACCTACACAGAGCCCTGGCCTCAATCCCACTGACAACAGCAAGTAAGTGTGGGTATGATGGTCAGGTGTCCACAAACTTTAGGCCATATAGTGTATATAAAAACAGTATATGCCCCCTAGTTGCAGTTGCTATCAGTGATATATCACCCATTTGCTATACAGGGATGTCGCTAAACGTAGAGTGATAGCTGGTTAGCTAACACAGAAACTGAGAGAGACAAGTTGTTGAAATTGTTTAACATTCTTAGTCTTAAATTGTTTAACACTCATAGCCCTTATGTGTTGTGTTTGTGTTTTTACAGTATTTAATCCTCGGAGTGCTGTGTGTTGTGTGTTAATCTCCCGATGGAAGAAATGGAGCGATGAAAACCAGAACTCACAAAGAGCCGGTGAGTTAGAAAAAATAGAGAGAAATACAGAGAAAATAATGCTGCATTCAGAAATGTTGTTTTCACTGTGTTTATGTGACATCAAATCTGATGGAACCAGTTGGATTAGTCGATGCTAACCTATTTGTTCTACCTATTTGTTCATTTATCCATCCATCCATCTATCTATCTATCTATCTATCTATCTATCTATCTATCTATCTATATGTTTGTCTGTCTGTCTGTCTGTCCATCCATGCATGCTTTTTTGTCTGTCTATCCACCCTTCCATCCAGCCACCCATACATCTTCCTGTTTGTCCATCCATCCATCCATCCATCCATCCATCCATCCATTCCTCCATCCATCTACCTGTTTGTCTGTCCATCCACACATTCATTCATCCATCCATCTATTCGTTATCTACCTTTTTATCCATCCATCTGTCTGTCCATGCATCTATCCATCTAACCATCCACTCCCCCACCTACCTGTTTGGCTGTCTGTTTTGGTAGACAGTTCTTGATATTGGATTCACACTTTAGGACTCAACTATCCTCCTGTCCTACTGAATTCCTAAAATTTTGAAATGGTTGTTTAAACTGATGAAGTACCTATCTATCTATCTATCTATCTATCTATCTATCTATCTATCTATCTCTCTCTCTCTCTCTCTTGATGTCACTCTCTCTTCTTCTCAGATGCCCGTGCGTAGTGGGCGAAGGCGGGGTGGTATTGAGGAGCGGAGGGGGAGACGTCCACATCCTAGCCCATCTCGAGCAGAACGAAATGAACGACAAACAGTAAAACACTCTCGCGCGCTTCCTTTTTCCTACTATTTTCCCATCTCTCCTTTGTTTCTATGTTTCATTTCTCATCACAACCTGTTCATCTGTCATTTTTTCCAGTTCCTTTCTACAGTTAAATAAATACAATGCAACAAATAGGAAATGCATGTAGTTACAAAAGTGAGGAGGTTAAGTCTGAATATGATGATGGGTCCTAGGAGTTTAAGGGTTAATGCATTTGTAAAGGGTTAATAAAGGTTACCGTTCATGCTAGCTAACTAGTTAGTTGTGATCGAATTTATCCTAAGCATCTTGCGTGCCCTTTGCACCACCATTTTTCTTTTCTTTCTTTCTTTCAGCCTTCTTGATGATCCTGCTCTGGATACCATTGTCTCTTGCTTTGTCATCTTCAGTTCTCCTCTCTTAAGTTATATTTGTTTTCTTTTTTTTTTTCCTTCATTGTCTCATCTATTCTTGTCCAGCCTCATTAATTTTTCACATATATCAGACTCGTATTACACAAAGAGAAAGTGTTTTGGCCTTAAAGTATATTAGTGAAGAGTATTTGACTGTAAAATATCATTTGGCATGTTTAGCAGAGAGCTGCAGGAGAAGAGCTTGGTTGCTTTAACAGACGACCACAAGGACAGGATTCATCCGAAAGCGATGGAGAGCAGACTATTCCTCCCTTGAAGAGACAGAAGGTCCAGGTACCATTTTCCAATTATCTATTTTATTAAAGATGGGAAAAGTGACAGCAATTGATTATGACAACACAATAAATGCAGCTGAGGACCAAATAAAAAATTTATCACTCTGTCTGTCTGTTTAAATAAGTATGTATGCTCATATATATATGTTTGTTTATTTTTACCACAAGGACTCTTTGTCCAGTGCCCCAACATCAACCCATACAGCTGGCACAACAACTTCAGCACCACATCCAACTTCCTGCAACACCCAGTCACGGGAAAGTGACAACGAAGATGGCCAGTCACAAGGCAGCCGCAGCTCAGCTGGAGGAAGCTTAGCTAATAGCAGCAGTAGTATTAGCAGCGGACGGGATATTGATCAGGATAATCGGTCCTCTTCGCCGAGCCTCTCTGGCTCCCCGTTGGCCAGTTTGGACTCTGAATCAGACTCACCGGATTCACCAAAGCAAGGCGGGAAGGTTAAAGAAGGAATGGTGCCTAAACCAGGAGGAACGGGACGGGGGAATGACAGTGGTAGTGGAGAATGTCGGGACAATGAGGGGGGGAAGGAAGCAGATTTACCAGTACTGAAATCACCATCATCTCTTTGTCCTTTGAATGAGAGCAGCAGTGCCAGAAAATCCTACTTTTCTGTTGACTCTAAAATAGCGCCCAAGATGGAGTTCTCCAGTGTTGTGGGCGATGAGGCATTACATGGCTGCAGCCGCAGCAATGTCAACCCCAAAACAGCCTCTCAGTGTGGAGGAAAGATGGTGGTTGGTGGAGCAGAGTATCCCCATGGAAATCCCAATGTTAGCCATGCCTCCTCCTCTGCTCTTCCACCTCCACCTGCTCTGAAGCCTCTAGATGCAGGCCAGAGTGCTCCTGGTGATGTTAAAATTGAGAAAGTTGAAAAATGTGACAAGGCTCCACCCTCTCTGCTTCCACAGGCCACCTCCTTAGCCCAACAGGCCCCCCCTCCCCGCCACACTCATCACTACAGCCCTACTACATGGTCAGGCAGTGCTGTTTCCACTTGCCCAGGAAATTGGGGATACACACGTTATCCAGGTGTCCACCATGCACCTGTGCAACAGCAACAATTACCCTCTGTCTACAACCCCCCTTCCTCCATCCGTCACTCATCCCATCCCCCCTATTTGCCCCACCCACACCCACCCCACCCACACAGGGAGTACTTGCCCAGGTACAGCAGTCCAGCTGAGCGGGACAGGGCTGCAAGGGACAGTGCAATTAAAGATGGTACTAGTGGTTCTGGTGCACACAACAGTGCTAATATGGGAAGTGACTTTGTGACCCCTGTTCCTGGACAGAACCGAGAATTTGGAGCACCAGGCCGAGATGGACCATCAGGGGGTCGGGAATTCCGACCAGGTTTCCGGGAAAGGGATGCACTGAGAGACTTCTCTTTACAGAATCAGAACCAGCAACACGTAGCACAGAGCCGGGACTTTGGACCTGGTGTGGCAAGTGGGGCTGGAGGTGCAGGTGGGTGTCACCCAAGAGATAAGGAGGGAAGATGGGGAGAGTTTGCAGGCCAGATAAGGGAAGTAGGTGGCAACAGCAATCCAAGTAATGTCAATCAAGTAAACGTTAGCACTTCAAGCTCCAGTTTACCATCCAGTTCTCCACAAAACAGTTCAGCCACCCCAAACAAAGACTTTCAGTCTGCAGTGGAGCAGGTGGGGCAAGGGCATCAAGGACATCAAGTCCCTGCTACTGGGTCAGATCCTCCCCCCACTGCACACTTCCTAAGGGAATACCCTCCACCAGAGACCAAGGAGTACCCTCCAGCAGGGGCTCAACCTTCATCTGCCCCTCATCCTGGTCCTTCCAGAGAATACCCAAGTCCCACCAGACATGCTTCAAATATGGGTCGGGATTTTGCTGGAGGGCCTGCCGTTCCCCACCCACACTATCTGGTCCAGCCAGGCCTGACTGTGCAATCTAGGGAGAGAGAAAGAGAGAGGGAGAGGGAAAGAGAAAGAGAGAACAGTGCTCCATCTTCCATTTATCACAGTCGTAATCACCCACCGTCTCTTTCTCCTTCCTCATCTTCTTCCACACATGGACATCAGACTCCTGCCTCGTATCCCCCGACTTCCCACAGCCAGCAGCCTCTTCCACCATCCACACTTCCACCTAGTCAGACTCGTCCAGGGCAGTACCCCTCATCCAATCAGAGTCCACCCACTACTCTATCTCCACTTCCTAGTCCATCGACAAATCAAATGGGAGGATTTCCTCCATTTTCATCAACTTCTGCACCTTCTGCATCAGGTGCGGTCACTTCCTGTCTGTCTGGGTGCCGACCGGCTCCTTATCATGGCAGTTTAAACAGTCACACCCCTTTTGCTGGTGCTTACCATGGCAATAGTAACCATAGCAGCACTGTAGCTGCTAGCAATCCAAATAGCAACAATAGTGTTAACAGTCACATGCAGCTGCATTCGCCTACACCCTCCAAAATCCAACCACATATCTGCAACCCTGTTGCTCCGCCCAGTAACGCACCCACTGGTGCAGATGGCCAGTCTGAATCGTCATCTTGTTCTTTGCCACCACCTGTCATAAAGGAGGAGCCAATAGAAGAGAGGGAGGAAACTGAGAGTCCATCTTCTGTGCTCAGAAGCCCCTCACCTGAGCCAAAGGCTATCGATATTCCAATTCATGCCAGCCA